ATCAGTTCAGCCAGTAATGATTTCAAGATTAATTTGGGGAGTTCATAGTCTAAATTCTTCATTTTTGAAATTTGCCATCATCACTATAAACTATAAAGGTTTAAGCCACTAATGTTTTCACTTCTAGGCATTTCCATAAGAGATAACGCATGAATGCTGTGAATGGAAATTAGAAATTTTAAACAGAAAAATCATTCCAGCTGACAAAGGCTTCACCCTCAAATTTCAAGAACTGGATTTAGGTGACATTTTGTCACCCCAAAAGCTGAATCATGTGATCTTCTGAGAGGTGAACCCCAGAATCTTTTGCAAGGTTGCTAAGGAAGTTTGGTCTCAGATCATGCACAAAACACAATCCACTAGCTGTACTCAAGCATCCTCTGAAACACTGCAAGGGATTCAGAGATATGGTTCTCAGATGGCTCACAGTTTCTCTACCACACCTAAGGTGATTGATGTTATAGCTGGGCTGGCCCCAAGCCAGGCTTCCTCTAAGGGAATAAAGCTATAGAACTGATACCATACAAAACACCAAGCCAAGCTTTCCTTATCTTTTCCACAAACACAGTTGCTGATAGTTACATATTCACTCTTGCAGATTCACACAGCAAGGATAAAATTGAGTTTGCTATGGGAATGAGCCTGAAGTGTCTCAATGAAGGATGAAGTGTCTTCTTTTGGATGTAGAAAGGAAATAGGAAATGCTGCAAGAGAGAATTTTCAATCACATGGAAATGGCTATAAATTATTAGAGCAGGTGCTCTGCCAGATCTCCCCCTCTCCACACCTATCAAGTCCAATGCAATCGGGTGAATATTCTGACTGCTTGTCAGCTGAATATTCAACAATGGCTCATTTCTCCATACCATGGAAATGGGTACCTGTACCTATGTCATGTAGCAGGGGTCTGCAACCTATGGCTCTTTTAAGAAAAGAAAATGAAATCTTTAAATCTCTCCTATTATATAAAAGGGTAGTGGTCTGGCAACATTCTATGCTTGCCAAAATCAGTTGGCTCTGTGATGTGTCAATCACAAGGTGTCTCTATCCACTGGCTGTGTTGCCTGAGTTCTCTCCCACCCACTGCAGCCTCGGCCACTCTTCTCTGATTGGGCCAGTGTTTCAAGGTCATTTGCATTCCGCACCTCAAACTCCCCCCCCCACGAGACAGTTGGAACTGTCAGTTGCATATGCGACCTGGTGTATTCTGAGGTAAAATATGTCCTCACCCACAACACATCACTTCCCTTTCAAAAGAAACAAACCCAATAACACAACCATGCCACACCACAAAAAAGACAGATTGCAGCACAAGCAGAATACCACAAGGCAAAAAATGATAGGAAAAGATGCCAGCAGTCACCCCATTACTGCCACAGATATGTACCTGAGAATGCTTCAGAGGATGGTGTGCAGGTCCCAGGTTCCTGTTATAAAAGCTGCCTGGGGGATTATGGACCATTCACAGACTTTCTACCTTAACATACCTCACAGGGTTGTTGTGCGGATCATAGAGGGGAGAGGAGAATGATGTCAG